ACACGGTTTCATTTTCCCTGATTTAGTTGATTAATTTCAGTAGCTTCAGTTTTACATCACCTCTCATGGTGGAACTATTGAGCAACTCGACTTCTCACTTTTACATTGTCGCTTTTTGACCGATGTAAAATTTGTCCTGCTAGCAAATGTTCACAGGCCTGAACGTTGTCTGCAACGCCGATAGCAATGTTTTTTTCATGAAGCAAAAGGCCAAAACCCTTCTATTTGAGATGCACCATTCGTCAACAATTGAATCTGACATTTTCTTTTCACACCAAATTAGTTGAATAGTTTACGTTGGGGACTTCGACGCAATAACTTGGCATTTGTTTTTTTTCGTTTCCATTGGTAATGTCATCGCAATAGTGCGGCACCTCCCGGCTTATGTTTTCATTTCTCATGTACAAATATGCTTTTGGTTCGTGCTTCCGCGTCGATCAATTAGTGTGTTTTCTATTTGGCTTCCTCAAATTTATTAGCAGTTCAGGAGTCTCATTCATATGAAATAAAGACTGGTAGCTGCTTATCTAGTGAATCGTCTTGTGGATTTGAATTTGTATTTATTTTTTTTGCCTCGGAGGTGATGAAGTTGAGGTCAGAAGGAGTGGCTGTTGCTTCTGCTTGTCAAACCAGCTGCCCTTTACGGTACGCGTGAACGACGGCTGCAGCAATTATCCGCAGATGCATCAACTGGGAACGAAATTTTAATATTCTTCACCTTGCGAATAGGAAATTCGACTGGATCACATGGTGTTGTCGTTCTGAACGTCTAGCTGGCGGTGCCTACGAAAATTAAGATTTTCTAAAGCTGAGTTAAAGTCTGAAGAGGTGTCGCAGCAACCTCGACTTCCCAAGGTGGTGGTGGTGGTGGTCAATGTAATTACAACTCCATCTGAGATCTGACTGTTCAAAGTTATTCACACTCATGCCTCTTTTTCTAGTGCTTTTGTCGTTTTGACCCTGGAGTTCGATAAGAAACTCATCAACAGACAGCCCTATTTTATCTCTTATAGTTCTGTGTCGTCCGTTCTCTTTTTTGCATACGATCATGTGGTTAAGCCTCATGTTAAGTAAAGGTGAAGATTCACTGAAGGAATCGTTTCAGTCGATTCAAGGAAATGAGTTGGTGTCTTCCTCCATTTCTAAAGGGAGAATCTTGTTGTGGCTATGTCACCCGCCGTTATCTTATGGACTTGATATCTGAGCCTTCTTCAAACTGTTCCATTAGTCTCTGACTCTCTTACAGACTGAGTTTCAGGCAAGCACATTGTCTCTACTATCTGATGGAAAAGTCCCGGAACACTACAGATGCGTCTTGCGTTTAACCGTTTAGAGGTACATTGTTAGTGAGCATGGTAAAATGTCTATGGAGAATGGAGAAGCAAGTGGACCTTGAGGGACTCCTAATTTCATTTTTCTTTGCTACTGAGATATCAGATGCACAAGTTAAGTAAGTTAAACTTTCATGGTGTTTCGCAGGACTCGATAAAAGTGTAAAAGTGGTTGTTATTCTTTCAAGTTTATTATTTATGTTAATGTATTCGAGTAGCAAAATTTCTGTCATTGGCTTCTACGGCTTCTCCTTCGTGGTCATCATGAATGTAAACTAAATCTTAGTTGGCGCATGATCTGTATTTTCCCATAACAATGGATGCAGAATCTCATTCCGTCGACTTGGATCACTCGCTCTTGTGTGATTTGTCAACAGGACTTAATTATTTGATTGAATTCTATTAGCTTGGGTGCTAAGTTCTTCTGCCTCGAGCTTTCTAAATGCTACGCATTTTGGCGAGTGTTTACTGTGCCTTTGGAACCGTGATAAACTTTGTTGCTAATGTAGGAAAGCTTGAATCACGTCAGTTTTGCGCCACGTTTCGTGGTAGGTGAAAGAGAGTACAGAGCACTGCAGACCGATGTTTTTTGGTGCACTTGAATAATCGCATACCTTTTGCAAGTCTACAGACTACAACTACTTGCACTGCACTGGATTTAAATTAAAGCCCATTCATTCCTCTACTTCATGTAGGCAAATATTATTTAGTGGGGTAATTTGTGTTTTGCGTCAATGACACAAAGCAACTTTTTTAGCAGTCATTCTCCGGTATATAGACCTCGTCGGGTTGGTTCAGGACGATTTTCGTCATATAAGTTTTGTGATTCTAGCAAAGCATCAAGCTGTCAATTCGTTATCTGTCTATTCCGTTTTTGCAGTTTGCTCTTTTTAAAGAGACTTTGAAGATCAATAAGCGGTTCTGATCAAATGCAATATTTAGGCACTTTGTTCACCCATTGTCTCATTGAACTAAGTGAATTGATTAACTTGTATGTCAAAAGTGAACCGTTGGGACCTCGTGTCAGTGCACCCTGACATGGTAAATGTGGCTGACCTCGTTTGCTTGTTTGCTTCGATTAAGGCCAGTTATCAAGTCGTAGTCTCTTCTTCCTGTTCAATAGTCGCACTTATTATTCATAAACTTCTGCTGTCTGAGCCTTTGCTTCTTCCATCTTGCGTTTGAATCAATTTAACTTTAGCACGAACTTGAAGAAGTTTTGACCTCTTTATATGCGTCTTGATTAGATATAGATCATACGCTTAAAACAAGCGCAATTATAAGTACCCTATTATTTTCTTGCCACCAACATCCTTTCTCATCATAAAAGTAAGATAATTCCTGCCGCTTTTAATAAAGGGTAAGAATGATGTGTTCAAAGGTTTAACTGGACGTTGTGATGAGAAGGGAACGGAAAGGACTCGAAAACGGTTATAATGCATAAGGAGACGAGCTGTAAGACTACTAACATAGCTCAGAGTCCACTTTGTCTAGCGGAAGCACAAAGTTGGAGATGCAAGCACATGCATGTCCAAAGAAACAGTTGAAGTATCGCATTTCCACTCTTATTCTCAGTGTCAATTCTGGCTTTTCAAGCAACCCTGCGCTTTGAACATCACAACACGGTTAGTGCTGACAAACGGCCCACGAAGCAACTGAGTCACTCATCAAATTTAGTCTATAATTGCTACATTGCCTCACTACAACGTCACTAAACGCCCTTTGGAAAACCCCTTAGATCAGGAATGTCTTTTTATCTGAGAAATGGGGTGAAGAGAGGAGAATGTGATAGCCGAAAAGAACACTACACTGATTGAAAAGCTGAGTCATCCAATAGAGGACGAGGTTTAAAATAGGCTTTTGCGTCCACCCTTCTGGCTACTTTGCTTTCGCATCAGTGCTGACCAGACACATGCAGGTGTAAATTTCAGTTCAGTCAGAGAATATGTGGAGGATGTGCTACGTTTCTGCTTTATTGACATCTTCAAACAGGTGTCACAGACAGCTTTGTGGCGAACTGTCCGAATGGCTTGCGGCTAGCGTTACTGCAATTATCGACATCCTCGCCACAGAAATTGGAGTCGGGACGGTCGTTGAAGCTTAGCTTTCGTTTACACCCCTCCTTTTGGTGATTCGTCCATACGTAGTTGCCCTTTAAAATCGAATTTGTTTTTAGCTAACACCAATACAGCACTTTGCGTCAATCTTGAAGACAAGAAGTGTAATGCAAGAGCATTAAGTGCAAGATTGAAGTACACTGGTCGAGTCTTAACTACGTGCTTAACCTGTGCATTTTGAGGTTTTGTGGATCCTGAACAATAGCTTAAACGAACTGATTTTTTATTTGGAAGTAGGCAACCCTTTGGTTAGTTCTGACAGTTAAATTTATTTTCAAATGCTATGCAGGTAGTTGCACAGGTGCAACTTCTAAATAACTCGCCTTTTCAGTAGGTAGAGAGGAAGCTTCTTCGGTGTGGCACTTTCGTGTTTGCGACTTCTCATAGGAAGTCTTAATACTCTGCAGAAAATTTTGACGTTGCTCCGTCATTGAGATAATATGTCATATATTTTGTGCAAATGCTGTGGAATCTTAGCGTTAGAGCTACAGACGCTATTAAGGTTTGGCCTTGAATTGGTGAAGGGATCGCAACGCAATTTCCTGAGCACAATCCAAGTAAAAGGCATTTCAAGTGTTTCAATGTGATTGGGTTTTTTTAACTGCTTGAAGCCCGTGTGAAGCAGTAGTTGCATCCGTAAGTAAGCGTAAAAAGTGCTATTCTCGTGCTGATTTAGTTTGAGTAACAGTATACGAACTTAATAATGCTTAAATTTGCCAGCTAGGCAAAATGTCCTCTATTTCCTTCGTAATCACTGTGAATCTTCATGTTAATGTACAGAGAACGCATAAAGCATAAAATTAGAGTGGGTGAATTGCATCAAGATCTGGAACGCTCGCCTTTCTCGCTTGTTGATTTGACTTTGTTTCTCACTATGAGTTTTAAGAGCACTCATCAAAGCTCCCTTCCAATATCAGTTACTCTGGGAAGCGAAGTTTCACTCCTATGCTGATGCAAAGTTCAATATGTTTCTGCATTTTTACTAGCATTCATTTGTAACTAGCGTCTAACAAATGCAAATTTGAGGGCTTAGGAGGTTCCTTCTGGTGGGAAATTGAAATTTTAAAATTGTGTTGCACTATCGACACTTCAAACAAGTTTGTGAATAGTCCCTACATTCTGTATACCTCTTGACAATGTTAAGCTCCTTGAGGCAAATTTCGAAGCTTGCATGCTTTATTTTCTAAATGGTATTGTTCACTTTGATAAGCACAAGCTATATGGTTCCAGTGGGTGAACGGACGAACTGATGAGGTTCAGTGCTTGTGGCAAACAATTCTCACAAGATTACTCCTATTTAAACCATAAGCCGGAACTTGATGCGAAAGCCCTGTAACTTCCGTTCTAAGCAATGGATTTGGGACTAAGTAATTATTTTGCCTTCATAACATTGAAGTGCTGCAACATAAAGGCGAAAACGTGATCTTGTCGAGCCGATGAAACCGTTTCTCGTAGAAGTTTGAGTACACACGTACCTAAAAGTTGATATGGGCCGGTGGTGGTGGTGGTCATTGGCTTTTTTTAGATTCCGTACGCGTTAAAAAGTTCATATATGCTTTATATCCTCTTCCTCCCTTTTAGCAATCTAGTCAGCTACGTACGCTACTTGAATGTGAAGGCCTTTGTTGAAGTCACGGTGGCCGGTGAGAGCATTCGTGAGGCTCTTCTCCACCTTGTTCGTCTCTCTGGTCTCGGAGCCATGAAACCAAACACCGTTTGCCTCGGTTTCTATGACAACGCTGAACCCATGGTAAGAGCATTTTCTTTCGTCTAATCCTTTTCTCATGGTATGCTATGCCCATTCGTAGTAATTTTCACAAGTTTATTGTTTGGATTTTCTTCGAATTAAAGCATTGATGTTCTTTTTTTATTTATGAAGTAATCATGTACCCTAACATGAGTTGGTTTCTCAAT